GAGATAGAGAGATAAAAAGAAAGATTGAAACATTAGGAAAAGAGAAAAAGAGAAAGAGAAATAAAGTGAGAATGAATCTTCCCATCCAAAAAGTTTTTCTCATGCGGGTTGACCTCCCATATATGCTGACATTTTCCCCTACTCTTCTGCTAATAAAGCTCAATTACTTGATTAGTGGGTTAAAGCGGGATACACACACACATTTGTGACGAAACAACCATAGATAAAATATTCCTAACTTACGTATTATATTCTACGTACAAAATGTGTATATACGTATGAATGTATAGTATAATATGAGCGAATGGTATGTGTGTGCGTGTTTGTGTTTTTTATGCCTCTGTGATAATTTTAACCCACTTGACGAAATTTTATCTATACAAACAAACGTATTCGTGTTCGACCTAAAAATTGAGAAAATAATTGAACTCGATGAATCGGAAAACACTAGGAAACGTTAGTTATCGATAAAAACTTGACCCCCTTTTTACACGCACGTCCTTCGCACCTTTAATACCTATGCATGTAAGTGTATACTTATATAAATGCCATTCCAATGGATTTTTTATTACTTATGCTTCAAGGAATCAACTGATTTCTGTAATTAACTAACTTTATTATCTTGTACCTATCTTTCACTTCATAAGACTTAACTTTTTCTTCTAATAATAATAATTATTATTATTATACATATAAACATAATGTTACATACATTTCTAATCATTCTTGCTCAAAGGCTTAAGAATTATTACAAAATTAAAGGTTAATATATACATAATATTAAATTAAAATTTTTATTAATAATAAATTATATAATATTAAAGGTTAATATATATAATTAAATTATATATAATATTTTCGTATTATATCTATCACAATATTTTTGTATTCTATCTATCACATATTTATTTGATAATATACATTTTGATGACAATAATATTCTACAGCATATTAATTATTATTATTATTAATATATATATATATATATATAAATTTAATATTTTTTATTATTATTATTAAATATTATACAAGGGTGGGTTTAAAAGTATTAAGCCTAAACTTTATGTTCTATAATAAAAAATTATTGACTATGTTAGACTCAAAACTTTTCAACCTATCCATATATTTTATTTAACTATAATATTTCGATATTATATGAAAAGAAGTTTTCTATTTTGAATGGACTAAAATAGAAATGCAACGATTACTATTCGTTTTTAACAGCAAACTAATGTTAAATGGTAAACAGTTTTCCATAGAAAAATACCTTAAGTTCGCGATTGATAAATAATTCAGTTGGTTTGTCTATCGAAAACGCGAGTAATTTTAAAACGTACTTTCATTTGAATACGAATTTTTTAACGGATTGTCCGACGCAAAAGTTAAAGCAAAAAGAAAAAAACAATAAACGTTTCAAGGGGAAATACATKGGTCCTTGTCATGCCTACCACGTTACGCAACACGATGATGAGTATTAAAAGTAACTAACACGCTAGTTCAATATACACGTATACGAACAAGGGGTCTCGCATACGCTTTTTCCTTTCATTTTTTTGATCAAGATGATATTAGAAATCAAAGAATCATTGACTGGGTCTCAACTTGTCAACATTAATCCAATAGTACAAATTTTTAATTAATTTTCTTTCATAAATGCCCTAAGTATGCTTGAACATGACTATTAAAGTTCTGGAAATCAAATATTTATGAAATATTTAATGGTAATCAAAATTCGTAAACAAGTCATTTGATATACAATATTAATTGAATTTTATTCTAGAATTGTAATTGTAATTAATTGTTGTAGTTGTAAAAAATAAATTATTTATTCCAAGTTTTTTTATTAATCAAATTTTAATTATCTCCACACACAAAAATTGTGTATTTAAATAAAATAAAAATATTACTATAAAGATATTATATGTATACTCGTATGTGTAAATGATTCGATTTGATCTACGTGAACGATTGTGTCGATAAAAAAACAAACACACAAAGAGACATTGAACGCGTTTTATAAAAATCACGAAGAGTTTAACCATTTGATATCACATTCTCGAATCACCAAGTCAAATCGAACATTAACACTATGAAAAATTGTACGCATATAGGTGTATATGTTGATATCTACATAAAAGCGATTCTCCGATCAAAAGTTTTCCGTTGTATTCTTTAAATCTTCTGTTTTATTTTTATCAGGTATATTTATTGACTCATTGTGCATTGAACTCGAGATTCTATACGCGATGATAGTTATCATGTTTAATTATAACAATCTTATTAAATATCAAATATTTTATTTTTCTTGATATCTTTTTACTTATTAAATTGTAAAAAAAAATCGAACTTGTGACTGGTTTTACAGAAATATGAGGTTTTATCAATAAGTAAATAAACCTATGGAGATACGAATCTTTATGAAGTTCACTTTTTCGTAAAGCATAAATTCATGAATGAATTATTGAATTGAATATTGAATAATTCATGTTAGAATTTATAAACGAGTATTCCATTAAAAAAATTAATTAACAAAATAAATATATTTATATGATCGAAATATTTGAAAAAGTTATCACTTTTACGCGATGCATTTAATTCATGATTGAAATTCATATGAGAGAATTTTGACGAGCAATCAATTTAAAATTTTATCAAAAAAAAAACCAATATTCCTGTGTGATGCAATTATTTAAAAAGCTATCACTTTTTCATGAAGCACAAATTTCGTGATCGAAATTCATGAGACAATATATTACGACGAGCGATCGATTGCAAAATTTTATGTCGACAAAAGATATCAAACACGTGATCCAATTATTTAAAATAAAAAATGTAAAAAAAAGGATCACTTTTTCCACCGAAAATAAAATCAAAATTTAAAATTCAGATTGAAAATGATCAATTAATGAGAAAATGACGAGCCTTCTGATATCGTTAACCTAATCGTCGAAAAAAAAAACGTGATCCAATTATGTAAAAAAAAAAAGAAAAAAGAGAAAAGATACAAGATTAAAATAATCCATGACCATAACATAGATAATATTCTCTCTAAAGATATTTTCTATTAAACTCGTTAAGAGAGAACTTATCTATCTCTCTAACATTAGAGAAGAATAAAAAAGAGGGCTTGGTGTAAGATTTGTTCATTCCTAATCTGTGAGAGCGGTGCGTTTAGGTGGCTACTTAGGATGATCGTCACGTAGGAAACGAGTTGGCCCTTGGTGGCCTTCTTAGCCGGTGCACGAGAAAAAGAGGCCGCTCCTATTATTAAGGAAAAAAAAAATGAGAAGAAGAAAAAAAAAATAATATGTATAACGTTCATGGGTTTTCGTTTAAACCAGCACGAATCCATCCATCTCTCTCGTTCTTTTCACCATAAAAAAATAAAATAAAAAAAAAAACCAACTAGAATGAGAGAGGAAGAAGAAGAAGAAGAATAAAAAAAAGCAAAAGAAGAAGAAGAACAAAAAAAACGAAAACGAAGAAAAAAATTTTAGCAAAGATTCCATGCTCTTGGATGTTGTTGGCTAGCAGCAATAGCAACAGCATCAGCAACAGTAACAGTAACAGTAACAGCAGCAGGCCAGTCATCGGCCATCGGCTTCACCTCATCCTTGCTTCTCTCCCCCAAAAAGCATCTGCGGACTCCCGAAACACGTCAGCGCAGCATCCTTCTTCCCTTCTACCTGGGAACGATTTAAAGAGAAAGAAAGAGAGAGATGGAATGAAATATTCTCTCCTCACCTGGCCCCTTACTCCCTCTCTTTCGCTCTTTCTCTCTCATTCGCATCACGTTTATACCAACTACATTATTTCCCTTTATCTTATTTTTCAGTCCATTCAGAGAACCGGCTATCGTCCAGTATTACTTCTCCCTCTCTTTCTTTTCTTGCTACTCTCATACCTTCTATCTTTTGTCAATCGGTCTTGTCCACTGAACCAAACCATCTCTTTCTCTTTCTCTCCCTCTCTCGGTCTTGTCCACTGAACCAAACCATATCTTTCTCTCTTTCTTTCTTTCTTTCTTTCTTTCTTACTCACTCATTGCAATTCCCTTGAAACATGAATGGCACTGACGGTCAAATCGTGTACTCTTTGATTTTTCTCTTTCATATTCCAGAGGGAAAAAAAATATTTGGTAATACTTTTTTTTGATCATTTGTACATGGACAACATTTGTTTATTTTATGTCTGTTTTACCGAATAACCTGCGTGCGATTTTGTGTACATAAGAAAAAAACAACAGAAACTTTCGAGACGGCCTATAATACATAAAAAAATAAAAACAAACGTTTCCTTGAATTTTCGGTGCAATATTTCCACGTCAAAATAATAGAAAAAGAGGGTTTGTAAATTTACAATAATAAAATTACGATCGAATTGAAGTAGAAGATGAAATGAGTGGAGGGAACAATTTTATGACGGTCACGGTTACTTTGATCATAGATTCAACATGCGTGTCCTCTGTGACTCTCTTCGTTCCGCGTAGGTGTGTGCACGGAGAAAATAAAAAAGAAATAGAAAAAAAAATATCTATAAACGTACGCGGAAAAACAATTACAAATTTTTTTTTCTTATCGGTAATTGTTCCTTTTGCGATGGTGGTTAAGACTCCGGAAAGGTTATACGGACTTCATCAAACGAATGAACAATGAGTATCGTCAACTACGATGTTTATGATCGTACGGTATGAATTCAAACAAAGTTTAATTAATATAAATACACGAGTTGGTCTCATTGAAACAACAGCGTCATTACTATCTAAACGAGTTTTACATATTCATATTGAAGTTAGAATACAATTTAGAGAAGAAAAAAAGTAATACTGTGGAATAAAATTTATTGCAAATTTTTAGCCGACTAGATCTCAAAAATTGACTTACGTGCAATTAGAAATAAATTCTTTCAATTTGTCAGAATTGTTCCGAGGCTTTTTTTTAAATTACTTCCTTTTTTTTTGTATCAATTGTTTTTTACATAATGATGTTTAATAAACTTACCTTGAACGACGAGGAGTAGAGTTATCAAAGCGATCACTCGGATATGCATCCTTTTAATCTTAATTTTCCTTGAGATGAAGGATCACTGTAATCGATGTGACGACGAATTGATTTTGAAATTATTTATTAAAAAAAAAAATAACATAAAACCAATGAAATTTCTTTAAGATAACAAAGAAAGGATCAAGACACAATGGCACTTGTGATTAAATTAATGCAAAAATCAAATGCAAAAATTAAAATATAAAAACGTTTCACTAAACTCAGGCCTACGTTCGTCTCTTGTTAAACGATTAGCTTAACCGTAATTAATCGTTAACTTTTACTTCACGAACGTGGAAGAGTATAATCAAAGTTGCGTCCCGAAGGGTATTACACTGAATAAGGGAAATCGAACACGTATCCACCGATTCGATGTGGATACTAAATAGAAACTGAGAGAACGGGCGCGCGTGGTATCCGAAGAACGGCGGCTGAATCGCGCCCCCGGCTTTTTACGGGGACCTGCGCACTACGATTGTGATCTAAACGCGCAGTTCTATTGCGCAGTCATGCATATTACCGCCAAAATCAAATTTTATATCCGATCTTGCATTAAAACTTATCTATACTTTTCTAACTTTATTATTATATATATGTTTGTTTTATATAAATATATATATATATATATATATATATATATTATAAATAGTAATATATAAATAATATAGTCGAATAAATTTGAAATAAAATTATATTAAGTAAAAATGAAAAGTTTATATAATACAAGTCGAAAAATTTTCAATATCGACTAACAAGAATTGGCTTTTTTGTCTTTTAAATACAAATGAGTTTGACCGAAAAAAGAATTATTTCTATGCTAGGCTCAGTACTTTTCAACATAGAAAAATAAACAAGTAATAATATAATAAAATAAGAAATAACATTACTAATATGCAAATTAAATAATAAATTAAATATACATAAATGATAATTAACATTTCTTAATCTTATTTTATTTTATTTTTATTTATTTGATAAATTAAAAATTCATCGATAAAAGAATTCTTTGTATACAATAATGCATTATGAATCAATTTTTGTAATCTTATGATCTATGTAGTCGAACACGTTAGATGATACCACCTAACATAAGCTTCACGTTGTAAATGTGGAGTTATTGGAATGAACGCACGTGACGAGCGTAATATACACGCATTCGTGCACGCTTAGCTAACTAACAATAAACACAAGCTTCTTCATTTTTATCATCCATTCACTTCATCTTTAATATTTCTAATTGGAATGTGCTAAACGAGTTTAGGTGAAAATGATATTTTCTTAGGTGCAAATTTACGGACGTAAATTTGAACTGTTTCCCTGAAGGGAGTTTCAGTGAAGAAAAAAAATAAACAAAAAGAAGACAAATTATCTCCTCATTTGTAATCTCGCGTCGAAACTACAAGATTTAAAAATACAGAGTGGGTCAAAAATTTCTAAGTAATTATAATATAAAAATTAATTATAGAATCATTCACATATATGTTTTAACTTTTATTGGGTTAACCAATTAGTAATGTAAGAATATTTAATAGAGAAATATTAACGTGTCTTTTATTTAATTGTAAAATATTTAAAATTAGTTTTTTATTTAAATATAAAATACTGAAACATTATCAATATATAAAAAAAAAATACTATACAGTATTACTTGTTAAGTTATATAAATATAAAACATTTGTTGCAAATAAAAACTACGATTTCCTCTCCCATTTATTTAAAAATAAACTTGAAAAATAAACTTCCAACATTATTTATCGACGCAATCCGAAATATTGTTAATAAAACTGCAAACCAGAAAAAACTGACTTTTACTGTCTAAATGAATAAATCATCTCTATCCTGGCAGTCTGCATAAAATTCTTGATAAATCATAATGAACGTATATATCTGTTACAAGTAACGTTTTGCTTGCCTATTAATAAATAGGATATGAAATACGAATCTTATTTCCGCTGTTTGAAACGTATACACTCGTCATCGATATTCGACGATATAGTTTGACTTACGAATGACTAACCATGCTTCAAAAAAGTCTGATGTCATATTTGTGGCCATGCGTGCATCCGATTACCAAATTAATTCGGGCCTATTCTTTTTTTTCTTAATCATTGTTTTCTAAATAAAAATTTATCATGTGAGAAAGAAGATCGTAGAAATCCGTTGTGAAATCTACCCACAATTTTCCTCGAATATTTCTTCTTGTTTTATTGTTCACCATATTGGTTTATCCAAGTAATCATCATTCCAAATAATTGTCTACGTAATTGATGATTAAATATAATCGTTTTATCATCCTTTATTAATATAAGCACAAAGTATTCCAAAGTGATTACGAATACGTTAAAAAAACAGAAAATTTCTAAAATAAGTTTAAATAAAAAACATAAATTTCATAATTATTGATATAAGTGAAACTAGTTGTTGGAATTTTGGTAACCACTAGGAATTACCATAATTTGTTACCCCAAACGATTGATTATATTTGTAATATAATTTTTCTATTTAACTGCTGAGGAAACAAAAAATCCGCTCACGAACTTTAACGAAATGATGAGGGTATAGAATAAAATTTAAAGACAGGAAACGTTTGTGTTTAAAATTGATAAGACTAAAAGTACAGAAATATTTGAATTTTGTATATCCGCCAGGTGAATGCTTAGTATTCAACTCCTTGTAAGAATGTATTTTCTAAACTACAAACAAGGCCTTCATTTAAAAGTATATCGTAATTTTATGAATCATTGTTAGATATGAAGATACCTATTGGAAATGTTTAATTATCTCACGTTGCTGACAGTGGTTTGAAAAACATTTGTTCAGTCTAATATTTCATAGCATGTTTCATAGCTTATCGACACGAAACAACTTCATGCTTCGAAACGAAAAATATATAGAGAAACATGACTCATAAACAAACATCAAGTGTCGACATCTAACAAGAGAATTATGTAACTATATTACTAAGGGCAAACCTGCAACGTTATCGACCGAATCAACAATTTTTTTTCTATAATCATTCAAAAAATCATTTAACTAAATTATTGTAATTTCTAGACACAAATAATGATTTAAAATAAAATTTAAAAACAAATGAAGTTAATCTTATGTATAAATAAAAGATTAGTTCACCATTTAAAATTGGATTATTCTTATAGGTCGAGAGACAAAATTCCATAAGTTTATTTAGCTAAAACATGATTGGTCGACATCTCGTAGCGGTCCTAAACCCCACCACGAACACTGGATCAAGCCGGATGCGTCGAGGAACGACGAGAACAAAGGACGCTTTTGAACGCGCAAGCAGAAAGGACGCCATCTTCGTTTGTCAACGGACGTCAAGGTGTCTGGTCGTCGAGAGAGGAGGTTGTTCTTTAGAAGAAAGAAAGAAAGGAATAAAAAAAAGAAGGAAGAAGAAAAAATAAAACAGTCATTAAGAATGTAAAGTGCTCGTAAAGATAATCGCATAAAATCGTAACGCGTATTTCGAATAGATACAATGGCGTCTACCGAATTTGAAAAACGTAAAGAGGAAGAATACGAAATGCAGCTGTTGGGCTTTCACTCGAGAGCCGTTAATGCAACATGTAAGAGAACTACGACGATGATGAAGCCGTTTCGCTGCCGCTATTTATTTCGTTCCCTGTTTAATCCGCCAACGAGATTTTTACATAGACAAGAGTTTTTTCTTTTCATTTTAGGGTTATGATGTTTCAGTCGTTGGGCGAGTGAACTCTGGGTCATGTAGTTTTGATCATGACTAGAGTCACACTCGTCCAACGCTTGAAATAATTTCACCAAACGCATTACACCATCGACTGAATTTTAAAGCTAATTTTCCATTTTATTTTTCTTTCTTTCTCCGAAAATTCAGCTTTGTTCTTAAATAAATTTTATTTTATTATATTCCTCTGATATTTATGCCTCCTACATTTGTTTTACCCTTATCCAGCATGATACAAATAAAGATATTTATTTTTATTTTATTTACTTACTTTTCTTCAATTGCAATTTTATTATTTATACTTTCCTAGCTTTTTATTTTTGCTAAATACAAATTGCTTGTAGGTGTCTTAGCTTTTTATAATATATCCATACCTTTTTTTTTTAGTGGAAAAAATAGTTTACGAAGCTATAGAATCAACATGTAAAAGTTTACGCCAAAGTTTGCAAGATAAATACGATTATGATAAGGATGAGTTAAAAGAGCTTAAAAAAAATGTAAAAAAGCTAATACAAACTTATAGTGAACGTGCAATGCCACATTTAAAATTCATAGAGGTAACCGTAACTCTATGCTATTTGTAATTTTTATTTTTGTTTTTATAAAAGCAACAAAGACTATATCTATGATTTCTTTTTAGAGTATCGTTAAGAAATACATTTCTATACCAAAAAATGTGTTGTTAGATGAAGATAAATGCCAGAGTGTTCAATATACTGATGAAGAATATGAACTATTAGAGGAACGTTTGAAGACTTTACAGCAAAGAGCAAAGAGGGTATGTAAAAATAATGTATGATTGTAACATCATATCATCGTTCATATAATTATTTATTGTATTATGTTTTCAGGCCACTTTGTTAAACGCAGCATTGAAAGAAGAACTAACTATAGTAGATCAATTAGAAAGTTATATCTCTAGAAGTAACAAGATGTGTGATTTAGTTGAAAATTTGTCTATGAATCAAGATAACAACAGCAAAGTCATGAATGAAGCACTCAAACATTACAAAGACCTATATAAACAGTTAATTGCTATGCGACCCGAAACAAAAAAAGTAAAATATAATCCATTCGAAGATTTCAAAACTAAAGACTACGATATTGATAGCCTTTGATGGTTATTTTAGTTGTTGATTTTCAAATTGTTCTCCAGCATTCATTACAACATATGCAGTGTTTATATATGTAATATATTTGTATATAGTACATAAAAAATTTGTATATTTAAATCTTCTACGGATCACAAATGAATTTTATAGATGCATCTTTATATCATTGCAATAAAATTTTTATATTTTCTGTATTAATTTTGTTTTATGTAACTAAAGCATATACAAGAATGTTTCAAGAAATATTTAAGCTCAATTATAATATTTAAAAATTTAGTATTAAACAACTAATCGACAATGAATTTTTCCAATTCCTGTTTTATCGACATGAACTTTTATCGATATCCTACTGACAAGTGCTGCTATCTATCTCTTCAATAATTAAAAATAATAATTATTTTTTCTTAAAGTAAAAAAATAAACTAATCTTTGTTTTAAATTTTTATAAAATTTAAAAAAAATGACATTTATCGTTCTTAAGAACAACTATCAAGGATATTAAAAAAAAGATTATACTTTTATATATATATATATGTTGAGAATATACTAACACAACTTCAGACTATTCGCCATTCCAAACGTAACAAAATGGAGTTTACACTGAAGTCTTGTTGAAAATAATTTACGTTTAAACAAATGAGGAATAAAAGCATGAGATTTTACCAAGTAATAAAAAATAATATTAGACAAAAATTAATATAAAAAATAGAAAAAGCAGAAGTATTGTTTTCAGATAAAAATTGATCCAACTTGTTTCATTAATCAATTTTTGAAAAATCAAAATAGTAATTTAATCATAATTTAATCAAATCAAATAATAATTCAATCATCAATTTAACAAATAATAATCATTACATCAAAAGAATAAAACCAAAGAAAATATTAATTTAAAATAAGCGAATAAAATAGAATTGTTAAAAAAAAATTATAATTGATTAAATAGATAATACATACAACCATTTTGGAAGATGATCATTTGCGCTTATAATTCACTAAATCTATCATTACAAACCTGTGTTTCAACGATGATCCCTTGTGGCTGGGTCTCCCTTGGACCGATCTCACCTGTGCGCACCTTATTGTCAGATTAATTGTTAATCTCATTAGCAAAATATATAATCATTATATTTTATAAATATTTACATTTTACGCAAATATTTACATTTTACGCAAATATTTAAAAAGTCAAATTAATCACGATTTTATGACATTAAATAACGATCATTGTACAAAAAATCAATCACGGTCGACCCGCCGAAATAACTAAAACTTCCCGAATAAATTTTCTTCATTTATTGTTATAATAATTAATAATCTTTAAAAAAATTAATGTGTGTAAATAATTTATTCTATTATAATTATTTAAGGTTAATTATCTGAATTAAATAAGCAGTTCTAAAACTTTGATACGAAATGAACAAAAAATAATCCGAGAAGTATATGAAAATAACGGTTATTGTAAAAGAACCAATCACGTTCGACGTTACAAAATAATTATCTAACTCTTTTCAACATACTCACCTACACACATGCACAAAACGATAATATATTTTCTATAATAACAATTTCTAGCAATAATAAACTACATAAATGAATACATTTCTTTACAAAATAAAATCTTTTTATCCTCCATTTAATTAAAATTATTTTAACATAACAAAAAGCTTACAATAATGAAATGAATTAAAATAAACAATCGTAACGCGTACTACTATCGAATGATGTAAATGTGCACTGACGAAAACTTCAATTATTGTCCGAAAATAGCCGAACGTTTGGATCCCGAAGAAAAACGATCGATGACGAAGTTCGCGAACCGTTACAAATTTCTTCCTTTCTTTCTCGCACTCATTAGCATAGATAAGCCTATCTCTCAGATGCTTAAACACACACAATCATCATCGTACCTTTGTTTTGATTGGTCCGTCAGAGATAGAAGAGGACAGAAAGTTTCAAGCAGAATCATCGGACTTTGATGTGAGTGCATAAGATATACAAGTTATTGGTTGAAAAAGATGACAGAGAGGTGGGAAGATTAAGTTAAGGAGTAGGAGGAGGTAAATGGGGGGAGAGAAGAAAGTAACGAAGAAGTAATTAGTAATCGAGTAACGTTCGGTTTGTTAGTTTGATTGCTCTTATAGAGTCGACGTTTACATTTTTGATTTCTGTTTTTGATTAGTATAATATAAAAAATTGTATAAAAATAATTTATTTAGTAATTTAATAGGATGGAGGAAATAATTAATGGTGAATGTCGATTGACCGCCAAATTATTAGAAATGTTGAAAAATACCAATTACGAATTGATACAGGAAAATGGTCAAAGAAGATTATCCGCACCAGAAATTTATCACGACGGAAAAGAACGAGAAAAAGGTGCGGAAGTATTTGTCGGTCGTCTTCCTCGTGATTGTTACGAGGATGAATTAATGCCAATATTGAGTAAGGCCGGTCGATTGATGGAACTTAGATTGATGCTCGATTTTTCGGGATCAACGCGTGGTTATGCATTTGCTCTTTACGAAGATTCGAAAACTGCTAAAAAGGCCTGCATGGAGTTAGACGGTTATGAAATTCGACCGGGACATCGTATTGGCGTTGTCAAATCGATCGACAATTGTCGACTTTTCTTTGGTGGGGTACCCAAAAATAAAACGAAAGCTGAGTTTATGGAAGAATTGACGAAACTTCTCGAAGGGATCACCGATATTTATTTGTATCCAAATGCTTTGGATAAGTCACTCAATCGTGGATTTATTTTTGTTGAATTCAAGGATCACCGTGCTGCTGCAATGGCACGAAGAAAACTTATACCTGGCAGAGTTATGCTTTGGGAACATGAAATTGCTGTTGATTGGGCCGATCCAGAACCCGGCGATCCGATTGATGAAGAAATTATGCAAACTGTAAGTTTTTTATTTTTTTTTATCTAACCAATCGGACGCATACGAAAAAGTCGTGAAGAACCACATTGAATTTCGCGGCATCTGGAACTTTCGTAACTGGTTCCTAAAATGTTTCTTTTTCGTTAAAAATATGTTTTTTCACTATAATATGTACATAAAATAAATTTGAATAAAAAAAAATTAATATTTTTTTCTATAATTAAAATTAAATCTTAAAAATGTTCATTTTATAATTCAATAAATTTTACCTTTAACGGTCATCCGTCATTTTTTTGTAAAGTAAATTGAACGCTTATTATTTGTCTAAATTTGAAATAAAAAATATGGCGCCCAATAAAGTACATTTAAAAAATGATCTAATTTTACAAATATTAATTGTGCACAGGTAACAGCTTTATTTGTAAGGAATCTATCTTTGAATATGCCGCAACAGAAAATCAAGGAAATATTTCAAAAATCAACGAATATACCTATTTTGAAGTTGAAAAAAATTAATCATTTTGCGTTTATACATTACGAATCAAGACAAGCCGCACAAAGAGTAATGGACATTATGTCGCGTGAGTAAAATTTTTGTGCATCTCTTAATAGAATTTAAATATATAACATATATTTAATATAATATATATATATATATATATATATATGTATGTATGTATGTATGTATATTGATCATCTATTTTACAAATATTGATTCAAAATGTTTGAAAATACTGATAAAATAAATGGAAGTATTTTCTTTATATTCTATTTTTAAATATTTTATTTGATGTATATCTATTTACGTTTAATTTCTAAATTTCATACGTATGTTATTTTTGGTAACAATAGAACGCAATAGCATCGTAGAGCAAGAAGGTTGGGAAATTCGTTGGGCGAAACCGATTTGTGCATCAAAACTCTTAGAGAGGCAGAAATGTATAAATGAAGCTGCGTCAACTGGTAGAAATGCTCGTTTCAAGCCATTATTGTCGAAGAATTACTATCTTCAAGCACTTCCAGAGGTATACGAGGAAAATAATAATAAAGGTACCGCTCACGTCATCGCATTACAAACTTTGGTTAAGGAAAAGTTAGGTGCAATGTGCTCCTTTGAATGTTGGAGAGCGGTTGATACTCCTGGATATATTTGTAAGGTAAGATCGACAAATAAATTCATAATTACAAAATTTATAAATAACATATTTTTCTATCTAAAAACTTTCCTAGATATATTGGTAAAGATTTAATTTTCCTTTAATATTTTTTACATTAATTTATACCATTACATTTGTTCAGCATTGTATGTATGCGTGTATGAAACCTTTAAATCAGAAGTATTAGGAATGTAACAATAAATATTAAAGTGAGGACTACAAGAGAGAAGAAAAAACATAAGAATATTGTCCAATTATTAGTCATTTTTCTTTGGCTAAAAAAAGAAAAAAAAAGAACTCGCCAATAAGAATACTGACCTCATTTTTTTTTCTCGACAACTTCGTATGTTTGACCTTGGAAAATATTCGAGGAAAGATAATACGATAAAGAATAATGTAGTCTTAAATGTATTACAGTTTTCTTTTATTCCTGATTTTTTTTTTTAATACGTTTAAAGTTATAGCGAATACGTAAATGTATCTAATTCCTTGGGAGGACTTCGTCGTACATTTTCTAACTATATTAATTCCAGAAACTTTCCATGGGAAAGGGGGAGAGAGGGGGAGAGTGGTGTGAGGGAAAAAAAGATAGAATTCAGGGAATTTAAAGTCGCTGTTTAGGTAGCTTTTATATCTAACGAATATTTCTCTACGTGCATTAATTCTCAATGTTTTAATTACTCTAATGTTATATTGTGGATGATTAATTTTTCTATAGATAATTAAAACAATAAAAATCAGACACCTCATTAATTAGTGCAATGAACCATCATCAGGCCAGTTAAATGAATTATACTAAATCACGATATTTTTCAGAGATAATTTCTTTTTTTTTATTATAGATAACCATTTTCAAAGGAAATGCCACAATTTTTGAATATCACGGAGAAGTAATGCCTACAAAAAATAAAGCAATCAGTTCGACATCGTTAAAAATGTATCATTACTTGTCTAAATCGTATACAAATAATCCTGGTAAGATTTTTTCTTTCTTTTTTCTTACAACAAATCATAGTTTAATCGACAACAAAATATTTAAATATTTAATCTTTTTTTAATTACTATTTTTTTTATAGACAATCAGAAAATTGCACAAGATTGCACGCAACAAAACATTGTGGAATTTGATGGAACGCAGTTTTATACATTGACAAATTCATTGTACAATACCTATATTAATGGAAGTTATTAATTTCTTAATCGTAATTGGTAATACGCGTTATAGAAATCGACGAAAAAAATATGCTAAAAGTAATCTTCAAATGAAATCAAATTATTTTTGCAAAAGATTAACTACAATCATAAGATTCTAAATTGATAAAATATATAATAACTCACACGCGCGAATCCTTAACGTGATTTCGAAATTTACATTTATAATTTTAAACTTTTCAATGAAATGTTACATTAATTATATACCGTATTGATTATAATCAACTTTGTGATATCAAATTCTATGAGTATATAGAAACTTTTTTATAAAGTTGGCTTGGATCGGTTTGTAATAATCATTTAAAAAAACATATTTTAAATGGTATCACTTTGTAACAAATCTAGTTGAATTTTAAAAAATGTATAGGTCAAATATTATTCACTTTTTGCGTAAGCCGTAATAATTAATGCATTTTATTATTAACGTTAATCGCTAAGGTATTTACAGAATCGTTACTTCGAATCATTATCTATGTAGAAGAATCTTAAGTTAGATTTATATTGGAACACAAATGCTCTATCATTGTTTTATTACATATATGTTTAAAGTTATTCATATTTAACATAAAAATAACATAATATAAAAAATAGATCATTATAAAAATATATATAGAAGATTGTTGGAATTTCCAACTAGAAAAAAATTATTATTTTTTTTTATAATATTAGATATTAAAAAAGTGAAAATTTCACTTTTTTATTTATGCTTTTTTTTATACGTATACAATGACTTTTATTTAATTATACTATATATTATATATAATGTAAAAAGCTATTTGTAAGATTATAAAATATTTACTCGCATTATCATAGAGAAACTAACACATTTTAATTTACTTAAAACGTTAGCACATAGGACAAAAAGTTAACGTTCAGTTTCTTTATACTTAACATTTATGTTACATATTTTCTAAGTTGATAAGAATGAAATCCAAGTGGTTAGAAATGATCTCAATGTTCTTGTTCATTTCTTTTAACGGACATTATGGAATAATAAATATTTCTGTGAATCGATACTATGTGTAACAGTTATTAAGAAAATGTAATTGCATGATAATCATATGTTTAGATGTTAAATTATAATCCGACAAGGTACGATTGTCTTCTAAAAAGTAACCACCGCTCCATAATTTTATTCTTGTTGGTGGCCAATCTTGATTTCCTTCTGACTTGTAGATGCAAGAAATTCTTTGCTTCAATGATTTAATTGTTTCATACCAATACGTACGAATCTTTCTTTGACGTCCGTCAAGAGTTAGAACTGTGATAGTCTCAGGTTGACAACTACATTCTATTTTAGAAAAGAAATTCATTTAATTATATTAAAGTAAAGGTCTACATATTTAAATATAATATCTATTAAACTTCTACCACTTTTGTAGCAGGACATTTATTAAATATGTTTTAATCTTAAGCTGTATAATCGCAAATGATGAAATTAATTTAAAGGTTAATATATTTATATTGACGTTTCTCTGACCAGTGTTAACAAAACATTGCATATAAAAGAAATGTGTCCGGAGCAGACGTGTTTATTTTTGTCTCTCCCTTCTCTGAAAATTTTTGTATCCCTACTATTTATTATCTTCCACTGGCGAGCAAGAGATGAAAAGAACGAAACATGCGCAGAAAAAGAAACCTTGCTTTGCGACAAGTGACGATGGTGAGGGTAAACGATACAAAACAACGAGATAGCAGTTCCGTTCGTGCGTTACTTTTCGCTTGTTAGGGGAGGACAGCTTTTCGGAGAATTTATCACGTGACATTTTGTTTGTTTATTTAAATACAACGAGGACATTAATAATATTATAGTATATAATATATATTATATATTATTATTATTATAATAGGTAATATATATATATATATATATATATATATATATATATATTACTACTATTTTATAATTATATTACTAATATAATTATATATTATAT